TGTGGACTGTGATGCTCTGTTGTCTCCAAGACATTGTGACTTTGTTGTATTTATAGTTAATTGGTGATTGTATGTTACAGTAATTCACCAAAGATTTTAGCTTGCTTTCTTTCTTTTTTGGATGTATTCAAATAAGCAGGGTGCTGTGCTCCTCTATTTGCTAGTTGGCAGAACTTATGTGCTCATAACCTGTCTCCTGGTGGGTGTGATAGGAATGAGAGTGGCTGCATGGATCTCTGTTAACTGTTTGTGAAGAGCAGTTAAAGGTGAGCCAGGCTTTTATTGGTGGTTGTGTATCATTGGCCAGTTGGTGCAGAAGTAAGTGATGGCTCTCACTTGGTAAGTGGAGCTGCAGCATGTGCAGATGTGTATGAGTTGTATGGGCAGCGTTGCTGTCTCCCGGTCAATTAGGCATAAACATCAATCGAAAAATCATCAAAAAAGTAAGAGCAAGAGGACAAAAAGCACACACTGCATAAATACACAGGAACAATCACTAAAAAGAGAGAAAAGAGGAACAGTAATAAATGAAATTAAATATTTTAAAAAAAATACTTTAAAAAGCCAAAAGAAATATGAACAGAAAAAGGGAAAAAAAGAAAAATACCATATTTGGGGAGGGGGGAATAAGGGAAAAGAGGCAGAGTAGAAGAATAATGAAGAAGAAAAGCAAAAATTGTAAAAACAAAAACAAGGAATAGGGAGAACCACAAGAAACAAACAAAAACAAACAAACAAACAGACAAAAAAGTGGGAACCAGGAACAGGGAAGAGAGAAAAAGCTGAAAACTAGAACTTGGGACAGGAAGAAGAAAGAATAATAACAATAAGGACAAATAATAACAATAATAATAATTTTAAAGCAGACAAAAACAAACAAACTAAAAAAGAAAAAAGGAATAAAAAAATCTGAGCTGGGTGGGGCTGGACACCCAGCCTCTGTCAGAGCACACAGACTGAGATGGAATTCCTGCTGGCCCAGAAGGTGGATGGGAGTAAGGGATGGTCACACCTCTGTTCATCAAAAGGATGTTGGGTATAAGAATAACAAGGGGAATATCACACCTTTCCAGGCCTCAGTGTCCAGTGTGTCCTTGTGGTCCCCAGAAAGTGGAGCCTATTCTTAGTCCCTGGAATCTAAATGTTGTCAGTTTAAATCTCCAAAATGATTGAACTGCCTGTAAACATTCAAAATGGCTGCACCCTTCGGACAGCCAAAAGTCCACAGCTCAGCCTGTCTCTCTCTTCACTGCTTCCCCTTTTATTGACTAGCCATCAGTTCAGTCCTCCACACAGTCCCTAGTTATCAGGGCTGATTTTTAGGTTGATTCTTAGGTCCTAACACCTCTTGGCAATATCCCATTTCAGCTGTCCAAGCCATCAGGATCGCTGACAGACCACAGCTCCATATGTCTTCTTCTTTGCTGTTTCATGTAGGTTCTTCTACTTGTTGGAGTTTAATCTATTTCTGTATTCTTCCTTTCAAAGTTCAGGGATCCAGGATTATCTTCTGTATCTGTGTTAATTGGTTCCCCTTTTCTTTGTTGAAGAGGGTCCATGTAATTTTTCTTCCTATTCCACCATCTCCCCAGAACTCCCTTACCACTAGTCTTTTTGAGTCATTCCTTCATCCTTTAAGCCATAGCTTAGCTAGAACCTCTCCTATACAATTTTTCTTCCCTCCTTAAGAACATGGACTTTGTATAATCCATGAGTGGTTCCTAGAATTTAATAAAACATAAACTCTTAATTATATGTGTGTGTGTGTGTGTGTGTTTATAGGTTGGGCATTCCTACTTCCATAGTGATACTGCCTCGGAAACCCAAGGAGGGGTTGCTATGAGTTGAGGCTGACTCGATGGCAAACAACAACAACATATATATATATTTTATATATAAATATATATATAATTATTTGACTAATAACCAAAGCATGGACATTTGAATCAGACAAACCTGAATGTGAGTGCCTGTTCAGCTGCTTACTAACTGTGTGACTTTGCAAAGTTTACTTTATCCTCTGTGTCTCTGTTTTCCCTTCCATAAAGTGGGGATAATAATTATTCCTACTCCATAGTTTCTAAGTGTATTAAATTATGTAATGCATGAAAAAACACTTAATAAAGTGCCTGGTATAGCAAATTTTCAGTATATGTTACCATTATATGTATTACTTTGGCATTGTTCCTGAATATCCTTTAGGTGCTTAAGGCACTTTTCCTTCTCTCCATCTGATACACATCTTTATTTCATTTGCCAGATGTTCACATTTATTGAATCAGAAAAATATAATATGGGCTTTCTTTTTCCCAGGACTGATCATGTCCAGTGGCCAAGAATGGAAGGAGCAAAGAAGATTTGCCCTAACAACATTAAGGAACTTTGGTTTAGGAAAAAAGAGCTTAGAAGAACGCATTCAGGAGGAGGCCTGCCACCTCATTGAGGCTATAGAAGAGGAGAAAGGTGAGTTTCATAGGACAGGTGCAGGTACTTGTGGCTCAATCATTCATTGAACAGGAACTTATTAAGTGCCTGTGTTCCTCTTCTGTCCCTGGCACTGTGCTAGGCGCTAAAGGTGTGTTAAACTGGGTTCTCTACAAAAACAAAACCAGTAAAGTTTATATATAGAGAGAGAAAGAGTAATTTATCTTAGGAAAATGGCTCACACACTAATAGAAGCTGGCAAGTCCCAAGTTTTTGGATCAAGCATCAAGCTGGAGGCTTTTCCTGGGTCAAGCAGCTGCAGGGGCTGAGGAGCTAAAGGTTGGCAGGCAGTATACCGACTGTTGACTCCAATGAATGACGAATCCAAGATCTACAAGCCAAATGGTGGATTGTTCACTCACAGACAGTTGTAGGCAGCACAACAGAATCCCAATCCACAGAAGAGTGTCTCTTTTCCCAAGATGTCCATAAATATACTGGAAGCAGGCCACACCCCTAGGGAAACTCCCTTTCAATGGATTGGCTTTTCAAAACATGTACATCTGATCCCATCCTTGGAACAACCCACATCACATCTGCTTAAACCACACAGAATTGTGGTCCAGCCAAGTTGACACACAGCTTCCACTATCACAGTCTACCCCTTGTCAACTTGGCAGTTGTACACGTCTTCTTAAACATATATATTCTCTAAATAAGGACAATCATAAAGTCATATTTGCACCTAACATGATAGGCTAACACACGTACAACCGAAATGCATTAACCTTATTTACATTTTACAGTTAATAACAGAAGGAAACAAAAATATTTGATGCTCATATACAATGAAGAAATATAACAATCACAGTCCTCGTTTCTGCAACTGGTCACATGGTCGTAGCTGATATTCAGAACTACCTTCTTCCACCACCAATTCTGTATTTCTCTTGCCCTCAGCAAGCACCTCAGCTGGTCATGGTTCTTTGCCTGGTGGGGTGACCCAAACCTTCATTCCTGAAGGGTCTGGGCCATTAGAAGTCAAATCAGAATTGGGTTGCTGTAGTTTTCCATTGACTTCAATCACAGGGCATGGTAATACTAAGAGATGTCCTAAAGAATTTCCTGTATTCCAGAAATATACTTCTTTACCTCCATTGTGTAATGTCAATCCAATTTGCCCTTGGTGATCAGGATCTATCACACAAAATATTACAGTAATGCCCTTTTTGTCTGTTGATCCAGAAATATGAGGAAGTCAAATTGCCACATGGCATTCTTAATTTCCAGTTCAGAGCAATAAGTATTGTATCTCCAGGTGGGAGTGTTCCTCCCTTTGGGACTAAGATCTACAGAACCGCAGAGCATAGGATAGCAGGGACAGGAAGCAAAAATTAAGTGGGTCATTAAGGATAACAGTGAGTGGTACCGCTCCCATTTCCACCACTTGGTTCCTGGACCCATGAATCCTGGCTATTGGAGAAACAGCACTGGACACTGGTTTAGAGCACATACAACTCTTCCTCCTGAAGAACATTGCCCCAACCCTTCAAGGTATCGCCAACTAGTTGGTGCCATAATTGTGTTTTCAGTAGGCCATTCCATTGTTCTCTCAAGTCAGCTGTTTCAGGATGATGGAGAACATAGTAAGACCAGTGAATTCCATGAGCATAGGACCATTGCCGCACTTCATTTGCTGTGAAGTGAGATCCTTGACCAGAAGCAATGCTGTATGGGATACCAAGGCAGTGGATAAGGCATTCTGTAAGTCCATGGATGGTGGTTTTGGCAGAAGCATTACATGCAGGGAAGGCAAATCCATATCCAGAATAAGTATCTATTCCAGTAAGAACAAAATGCTGTCGTTTCCATGATGGAAGCAGTCCAATGTAATCAACTTGCCACCAAGTTGCTGGCTGATCACTTCGAGGAATGGTTCCATATTGTGGATTCAGTGTTGGTCTCTGCTGCTGGCAGATTGGGCACTCAGCAGTGGCAGTAGCCAAATCAGCCTTGGTAAGTGGAAGTCCATGTTGCTGAGCCCATGCATAACCTCTATCCCTGTCACTATGGCCACATTGTTCATAAGCCCATTGAGCAATGACAGGAGTAGCTGTGGAAAAATGATGGCTGGTCTCCACTGAACATGTCATCCTATCCACCTGATTGTTAAAGTCCTCCTCTGCTGAGGTTACCTTTCAGTGGGCATTCACATGAAACACAAATATCTTTACTCCTTTGGCCCATTCAGAGAGATCTATCCACATACCTCTTCCCCATACATCCTTGTCACCAATCTTCCAATCATGCACATTCCAAGTCCTAGACCATCCAGACAAGCCATTAGCCACAGCCCACGAATCCATATATCATCACACATCTGGCCATTTCTTACTCCCTGCAAAGTGAATGGCTTTGCATGGCTCAAAGTTCTGCCCATTGGGAGAAATCCCTTCACCTCTGTCCTCCAAGGAAGTCCCAGCAGTGCCACTGCTGTCCACTTTTGATTGGAGCCTGCATATCACGCAGAACCATCTATAAACCAGGCACGAATTTTCTCTTCCTCAGTCAACTGATCATAAGGAACTCCCCATGAAGCCATACATACAGACAGAGAGGGAAGGTAATGTGACTGGAGTGGAGACCATAGCATTTGGGCCACTTCCTCATGAAACTTACTTGTGCCTTCAGGTCCTGCTTGAGCCCAGTCTCTGATATACCACTTCAATTTAATGATGGACTGCTGCTGTGCACATCCAACTTTATGACTCTGGGTCAGACAACACTCAGTTCATGATGGGCAGCTCATGCCTCATGGTAACTTGGTGGCCCATGTCTAGGCATTCAGTCTCTACTAAAGCCCAGTAACAAGCTAAAAGTTGTTTCTCAAAAGAAGAGTAGTTATCTTTAGAGGATGGCAGGGATTTGCTCCAAAATCCCAAGGATCTGTGTTGTGATTCACCAATAGGGACCTGCCAAACACTCCAAACAACATCTTTATCTACTACAGACACTTCAAGCACCATTGGATCAGCTGGATCATATGGCCCAAGTGGCAGAGCAGCCTGCACTGCAGCCTGAACCTGTTGCAGAGCCTTCTGTTGTTCTGGGCCCCACTCAAAACTAGCAGCTTTTGAAGTCACTTGATAAATAGGCCACAACAACGCACCCAAATGAGGGATATGTTGCCCCTAATATCCAAAGAGGTCCACCAGACGTTGTTCCTCCTTTTTAGTTGTAGGTGATGCCAGATACAATAACTTATCCTTCACTTTAGTAGGAATATCTCAACATGCTCCACACCATTGGTCCCCTAGAAATTTCACTGAGGTGGAAGGTGCATGAATTTTTGTTGGGTTAATTTCCCAACAAAATTATGGTTGTGTCTCACCAATAAGTCCAGAGTCATTGATACATCTTCCTTACTAGGTCCAATTAGCATAATGTCATCAATATAATGGACCAGTGTGATGTTTTGTGAAAGGGAAGGCAATCAAGATCCTTATGGACTAAATTATGACATAGTGCCAGGGAGTTGATATACCCCTGAGGTATCAATGTGAAAGTATACTTTTGGCCTTGCCAGCTGAAGGCAAACTGCTTCTGATGGTCCTTTGAAATTGGTATTGAGAAAAAGGCATTGGCCAGATCAATAGCTGCATACCAAGTACCAGGAGATCTACTAATTTGCTCAAGCAATGAAACCACATCAGGAATACCAGCTGCAATTGGAGTCACCACCTGATTAAGTTTACGATAATCTCGGTCATTCTCCAAGATCCATCTGTTTTTTGCACAGGCCAAATAGGCAAATTAAATGGGGATGTGGTGGGAATTACCACCCCTGCATCCTTCAAGTCCTTGATAGTGGCAGTAATCTCTGCAACCCCTCCAGGGATGTAGTATTGCATTTGGTTTACTATTTTTGTAGGTAGAGGCAGTTCTAATGGCTTCCATTTGGCTTTTCCTACCATAATAGCCCTTACTCCACGTCAGGGACCCAATGTGGGAATTCTGCCAATTGCTCAGTATATCTATTCCAATTAAGCATTCTGGAACTAGGGAAATCACTACAGGATGGGTTCAGAGAAGCACTGGACCCACTGTGAGATGCACCTTACCTGAGACTCAATCAATAACTTGACCTCCATATGCCCCCACTCTGACTGGTGGGCCACAATGACGCTTTGGGTCTCCTTGAATTAGTGTCAATTCAGAGCCAGTGTCCAGTAATCCCCAAAAAGTCAGATTATTTCATTTTTTCCAATGAGCAGTCACTCTTGTAAAAGGTTTCAGATCCCTTTGGGGAAGGCTGGGAGAAAGATTGACATTATAAATTTTTGGCAATATAGTGGGGTCCTTCCTCAAAGGGACCTGGCCTCCCCTTCATTCAAGGGGTTGTGGGTCTGTAAACTGACTCAAGTCTGGGAATTGATTGAGAGGCTGTGACTCTGTATTCTGGCGATTCAATCTAGGCTGCTGTTCACGTGACCTAGAATTCTTCTGTCTATACAGATCAAGTAAATATTTAATAGGTTTTCCATGTATTTCACTGCTAGAAACACCACGCACAAATAGCCAATGCTGTAATTTCACACAAGTCAGAATATTATGATTACTGTTTTGACTCTTCTGTCCATTATGGTGACCTTGCCTTTGTTGATTAACTGCTGCCACATGGCCCCTCCTACCATGGGGTCCAATCAGCCCCATCGTAGTGAAGTGTCTTAGTTCAATTAGGGTAGTTCCCACTGTCAAACCCGGCTTACATAAAATAGCAGTCACAGCAGTCTTCAAGGATGCTCCCTTCACAAATTTATTACTGTACTGGTGAATGGCGTGTCTTCTGCACTCTCCATTTCTGGCTCTAGGGGTCTAATCTGATAAATCCATTCTAATAGGCCAATTTCCTTAAGCCTCTGGTTACCTTTTTCTACACTATACCAAGGAAGATCTGGTACTTCAGCTTGACTTTAGGTAGGCTACCGCATAATCCTTGCTTCAGTAAGCCAAGCAAATAAATGGTTAGATCTTTTCCTAACCTCTCGAGCTGAAACATTGAATGAACAATCCATGCTTAGTGGGCCTAAATCAATAAACTCAGACTGATCCAATGTTACTGTCCTTGCACCATTATCCCACACCCTCCGTAGCCATTCCCATACATATTTTCCAGGTTTCTGTCTGTACATGTTAGCAAAATCAAGTAGGTCTCTTTGAGTGTAGTGTACCACCTCTTCAGTCACACTTTGTATTTCACCTTCTGGGGCTTGCTTGAATTTAAGCTTAGTTTTAGGTCTAGCAGCAACAATGGATGGTTGGGGAAGTTCCTGAGAATATTCAGCAATGTCTTCCATGGCCTCTGCCTAAGGTAATGACCCAGCAGGAACAGTTGGGTTAATCCCATCAAACTGAGGTGGAGGGAATAATGATTTTACAGTAATCCCTTCAGATGGGAGGGATTCAACAGGATTTACAGGCTCCATACCCTGATCTTCCTGACTATCTGCCCATATGTTCCCATTCCAGGTTTCAGGATCCCATTTTTTCCCCATTCAATGCCCCTGATTTTAACTTCAGACACCTTTCTGGGTATGTAATTTAATTGGTGTTGTAATTTGGCCACTCTTAAATACAACTCTAGGTTTGGTTTTTGGCAATATCAGCTCTGTTACTAGAAGAAATAAGGCTTTCTTTCAGCACAACTGGAAACATTGAGGTCTATTATGCAGCACTTAAGCTGTGACTCAGCAGACCTGAGCTCATCTTGCTTTTTCACCACTTTGTCTAGTGTAAGTGGGACCAACCACCCAACTTCCTTATATTCCTCATGCTGACAAAATTGCAGAAAAGTATCAAATATGTGATCACCAGAGCCTCGCTTCTCAAAAGTACTTGATCTATTGGTGGTGCTATTTTGCATATTAATGTTGCCATCCCACGCCATGGATTAGCAGGACCCTCTTTACTAATGGAGGCAGGGTCACCAGTGCCTTTACAATTAATCAAATTGAAGAACCAATTTAAGAAGCCCATGCTTATGATTTTGTCTCTCTTGACCTCTCCCTGTACCAAATGTGTTAGACTGGGTTCTCTAGAGAAACAAAACCAACAAAGCTTATATAGGGAGAGAGAAAGAGAAATTTATCTTAGGAAAATGGCTCACACAGTTATAGAAGCTGGAAAGTCCCAAGTTCTTGGATCAATCGTCAAGCTGGAGGCTTTTCCCAACTCACACAGCTGCAAGGGCTGAGGAGCTCAAGATTAGCAGGCAGTATACTGGCTGTTGACTCAAATGAATGACAAATCCAAAATCTCCACACTGAATGGTAGATTGTTCACTCACGGACAGTTGTAGGCAGCACAACAGAATCCCGATCCACAAAAGAGTGTCTCTTTTCTCAGGATATCCATAAATATACTGGAAGCAGGCCACACCCCTAGGGAAACTCCCTTTCAATGGATTGGCTGCTCAAAACATATACATCTGATGCCATCATTGGAACAACCCACATCACAATTGCTTAAACCACACAGAATTGTGGTCCAGCCAATTTGACACACAGCTCCAACTATCACAAAAGGTATTAATAGTGAACATCTAACCATGGAATCTGCTCTTATGGAATCATTATAGGAAGACAGACATTAAACACATTGCTGAATTTAAACTCTGGTCATAAACTTGGCTCCATTAGCATTGCCTGAGCACTTGCTTTGTGTCTGAGCCTGTGTGGGGGGGCCGTGGCCAGAGCCTCATTCATGTTTTTTTTTTCATATAGAGTAGATTTTCCTTAGAAAGCAAAAACAAATCAATCTGAAGAATCCATCTCTTCCTTTCTCTGCCTCCAGGACAGCCTTTTGACCCTCACTTCAAGATCAATAATGCAGTTTCCAATATCATTTGCTCTATTACTTTTGGGGAGCGCTTTGACTACAAAGATGGTCAGTTTCAGGAACTGCTGAAGTTGCTGGATGAAATCACATATCTGGAAGGTGGAAGGTGGTCCCAGGTAAACAGTTTTCCATAAGAAACTGTAAGTTACATAAGTAAGAGATTTCCATATCTTGGTTAAGGATATAGGGGCTGGTGTCCTACACAGATGGATTCTTTGTTTGTTGTTTATTTATTTTATTTTTAGCTAATATGTAAACTTTTTAATGAAATTCAACACAAATCTATTTGAAATCAACCTGTTGATTTTACTTTTAAAAAAATGTTGTTGTTGTTATGTGCTGTCAAGTTGGACCTGACTCATAGCGACACCTCCTTGGGTTTTGAGGCAGTATCACTACGGAAGTAGATTGCCCTATCTTCCTTCTGAGGAGTGGCTAGTGAGTTTGAAATACTAAATATTATTTAGTGACAACGGCCAGACTTCTCATGTACTTTGGTCATGTCAGAAGAGACCGTTCCCTGAAGGATATCATGCTTGTTAGAGTAGAGGTTCAGTGAGAAAAATGAGAAGACCCTCAATGAGGTGAAATGACACAATGGCTGTGACAATGGGCTCCAGTAAAGCAAATTGTGTGAGGTTGGCACAGTATCAGGCAGTGTTTTGTTCTGTTGTATACAGAGTCACTATGAGTTGGAGCCAACTCGATGACACCTCACAACAATATTTATACCAAGAACATTTCTAACACTGATGTAAGGTGCAAACTCTTATAATGCATACACCTATGCATCTCTGCTGTGCTATTTAAAGAGAGCAATAATATTGACATTGCCTGTCAGCCCCTCTTCTCTCTGTCCCTCTCTAATCCCATCCATTTTCCTTCTTCCTCTGAGGGACTTTTTGTCCCTGATTTCTTGCTCAGCCAAATGTTTCTGATGAGTCTGCATTGATTGCTCTTTTAAAATATTGATTAGCATTCCATTGAAGGAGTTCTTGTGGCTTAATGCCTAAAGCATGTGATTGCTAACCAGAAGGTTGATGGTTCAAATCTACCAGCTTCTTCCATGGAAGGAAATGTGGCAATCTACTTCCATAAAGATTTACCACGTTGGAAAACCAATGGGGATCGCTGTGAGTCAGAATCAACTGAATGGCAATGGGTTTGGCTTAGTTAGCAGTCCATTGTATGAATATGCCACTTTGTTAATCTGTTTTTGATTAGTAAACCTTTGGATCTTTGCATGCTATGAATAAAACTACAGGAATATTCTTCAACAAGTGTTTTTATAGACATAGCATACTTCCATAGACAGGGAAGTCACAGGTGTCAAAAGGTTCCCAAAGTGGCTGTACAATTCACACATCTACCAACACCTTGTATCATCAGTCTTAATTCCTTAGGGTGTTAGCCTTTGGGATACAAACATCATACTCTTCCTTGTTGGACCCCAAACTGGTTTGTGTCCCTCTAGATCTATGAATCTGTCAAAAACTCTTCAGCTTTTTGGTTTCTTCGTAATTTTCATGGATTTGGAAAACATCACGATGGGGAAAATTGACCCCATTGAACCTCTCTCATCACTTTCTACCCCTAGCCCTTATCCCTGAAATTCCTCACTACCTTGTGGTGTGTGTGTGTTAATCTTTTCTTGGTGTTCTCAGTCAGAGGATTATCCCAAATTACTCAGTCTGCCATTACCAAAAGAAAAAAAAGTTCTCATTAAAAAAACAAAAAACAGTTTTTGAAAATTACAATCATATCTTAAAATAGAATAAAGCATAATGGATCACTCTGTACCACTCGTTCATCTCCAGCCGTCATCAACACATGGAAAATCTCCTTTACTTGTACCTACACCTCACTACTGCTCCCACACCTGGGTTTTTTTTGGAGCAAATTGTGGATCTCAATTATTCAATCCATCAATATGTCAGTATATTTGTCTTGAAAGGACTTATTCAAATAAAAATTAAGTATTATTGGACCTGAAAAATATTAATAATTCTTTAATGTCATCATATACCTACCTACTCAGTGTCCTGATTTCCCTTCATGTCTCATAAATATTTTTTGTGATTGTTTTATTTGAATCCAAAGCCAAACTAGGCCTATGTGTTATAGTTGGTTACTAAGTCTCTCTCAAGTCTCTCTTGTATCTCTTAAGTTATTTAACATTTAAACCGTGACCTGTGGCTTCCTGCACGTTCTTCCCCCTACCCCATCTTTATTTTATTTATTTATCTACAATTTGTTTAATGACAAAACTGAGGTATTTGTCCACTAAACTATTCCACATTATCAGTTTTCTGATTGCATTACTTTGGCATTTAACATGTTCTTCTAGTTCTTTGTTTATATATATATATATATATATATATATATATATATATATATATATATATATATATATATATATGTAATTAAATCTAGAGAATTGATCAGAATCTGGTTTGATTATTAGAAAGATTTCTTTTTTAGGAGGTCCATAATGTCAGGTTGTGTCTCTTTTTCATATTAGTATGGATTCTTGTGTTTTCAGCCTGATGCATTTATTACAGCATCCCCCATGTGCTCTTTCCTTAATGATTTTAGGTACCACTGATGATCATTGCCAAGATCCACTTTTTTGAAGGGTTCAAACTGGTTATATTGTAATTCTTTTCTTCTCTCTTTGCAATTGCCTTTTGATTATTGATTTTGTATTCATCAACTTTGATTCATTCTTATTAATATTACAATTTTATCTGTGGATGACTTCGTAGACTATCCTATCATATGTAAATAATTATAGCTTTATTCTTCCTTTCCAGTCCTCATGTCATTGATTTCTTTTTCTTGCTTCATTACACTGCCTATTGTAGAGAGTAAAGTGATCCTGACTGATAGAAAAGTTGGTGATGGATAAGTAAAGACCAACTTGTGTAAACACTTATAAGCCCAGGTAATCATGTAGAAATATTTTCTAAGTGCAGTGGAAAGCCACTGGAGGATTGAGAGCCAAGGAGTGAAACAATCAGATTAAACTGTTAAATTATCACTGGCAGAACTGTGGGAAATAGACTGGGAGTGGGATTAATAATGGAATCAGGAAAACTATTGGAGGCCATTACAGCATCCAGATAATAGGTAATGGTGGTTTGCCTTAGGTGGTTTGAACTGTGACAAGCAGTTGGGGTGGTAGAAAGTGGTCTGAGGCTGTACATATTTTGGAAAGAAAACTGAAATGCTTTTCTGGAAGGGTGAGAGAGAAAGAAGAGTCAGGATGACTCCAGGGTTTAAGTGTAAACATATAAAAGAGAGGGATGAAAAGAGAAGACAGTTCTTCTTGTCTTAAAATGCGGAAAAGTGGCAGGATGTTGTGTCCATTATTGTGTTTTTTGTCATTTAGCTCTACAGTACCTTTCCATGGATAATGAAATTCCTTCCTGGACCTCACCAGACAGTCTTTAGAGACTGGGAGAAATTGAAACTATTTGTTTCTCGTATAATTGAAAAACACAAGAGAGATTGGAATCCTTCCGAACCAAGAGACTTCATTGATGCTTACCTCAAGGAAATGACAAAGGTGAGGAAATCAAAGCTGATTACTGTGTTTTGTTCTTTAAGAATAAATGGGAGTGCATTATTTTTCTATTATTTTCTGTAATAAATTATCTACTGTAATAAATTATCATAAATTTAGTGGCTTCAAACAACACAAATATATTCTCTTACTCCCCTGAAGGTCAGAAATCTAAACTCAGTTTCAGGGGACAAAGTTCAGGCATCATAGTGCTGGCCCCTTCTGGAGGCTCTGGGGAGATTTCATTTCCTTGCCTGGTCCAGCTTTAGAGACACCTGATTTCCCTGGCTCATTTCTCTTCCTCTGACTTCGAAGCCAGCAGCACAGCAATTTCTCTTCTCTCTGATCACTGCTTCTTTCTGACCTTGCATATTCTCTGTGACCCTCGTGCCTCCCTCTTCAAAGGCCCTTCATGATAACACTGGAGATATCTGATAATCCAGGTAATATCCTCATATCAAGATCCTCAACTTAATACAGATGCAACATACCTTTAATATAAACTAAACCACTTGCCTTCAAATCAATTCAAACTCAATGAGACCCTACAGGAGAGAATAGAACTGCCCATAGGATTTCCAAGACTCTCAACTTTACAGAAGCAGACTGTCAACATCTTTGTGCCGTGGGCTGGCTATTGTTGTCAGGGATGATCAAGTCAGCTCTGACTCATAGAAAGCCTATGTACAACACAATGAAACACTGCCTGGTCTTGTGCCAACCTCACAATCCTTGGTATACTGAGCCCATTGTTGCAGCTACTGTGTCAGTCCATCTCATTGAGGCCCTGTCCCTTTTTTTGTTGACCTTCCACTTTACCAAGCATGATATCCTTCTCTGGGGAATGGTCCCTTCTGAAAACATGACCAAAGTAGGTCAGATGAAATTCGGCCATTCTTGTGTCCAAGGAGCATTCCGGCTGCACTTTTTCCTAGTCTTTTTAGCAGTCCCTGGTACTTTCCATATTCTTTGCCAATGCCACAATTGAAAAGCATCCACTCTTCTTTGGTCTTCCTTATTCATTCTCCAGCTCTTACGTGCATATGAGGCTATTGAAAATACCATGGCTTGGGTTAGGTGCACCCTAGTCTTCAAACAGAAATCTTTGCCCTTAAACTCTTTAAAGAGGTCTTTTGCAACAGATAGGTAGGCATCTACTGTAACACATTGTCTGATGTCTTGACTGCTTCCATTGGTGTTGATTGTGGAACCAAGTAATATGAAATCTTTGACAACTTGGATCTTTTCTCCATTTATTGTGATGCTGCTTATTGGTCCATTTGTGAGGATTTTTGTTTTCTTTATGAGATGTAATGCTTACTGCAGACTTAAGTCTTTAATCTTCATCAGTAAGTGCTTCAAGTCATCCTCATTTCAGCAAGCAAAGTTGTGTTGTCTGCATATCACAGATTGTCAATGAGTATTCCTCCAATCCTGATGCCATACTCTTCTTCATATAGTCCAGCTTCTCAGATTATTTGCCCAGCATACAGATTGAATAAGTATGGTGAAAGGATACGACCCTGACACACTCCCTTCCTGATTTTAAACCATGAAATATCCCCTTGTCCTGTTCAAATGACAGCCTCCTGGTCTATGTACTGGTTCCTCATGAGCACAATTAAGTGTTCTGGAATTCCCATTCTTCTTAATGTTATTCATAATTTTTTACAAGGTACACAATTGAATGCTTTTGCATAGGGATGGGAGGAGGAGGGAAAAAAAAAAGATAGATGTTTAATAATATCTAGCTTGAGGCTCTGGGAACACCCAAAACAACATCTCTAGTCTCACTCCTACCTTCTACCGACATCTGAGAGCACTTTGCATAAAAGAAAAAAGTAGAAATTAGCATGAAAGTATTGTTGTAGTATTAGATGGGTCTGTGCCTAGTTACCTGAGGAGTCTGGTTGCACAGTCGTTAAGCACTTAGCTGTTAACTGAACGGCCAGCATTTCAAATTCACCAGCCACTCCATGGGAGAAAGATGTGGCAATCTGATTCCATAAAGATTGCAGCCTTAGAAACATTATGAGGTACTAGTCTCTCCTATAAAGTTGTTATCAGTCAGACATTTGACTCTTCAGATTAATGGTTCCTCATCCTGGAGTGGGCAAATGGGTGGATTTCCTTTTGTCTCCTCCCTTATTTCACCTTGTTTACAGAGCATCAATAGATGCATTCTTTTCTCCTCAAAACAAGAGACTGTGCTGCAATATGGTGTTCGGGTATGGGACCATACATTAAGAGGAATGTTGCCAGATTAAAGGATCCAAGGGATGATCAGGAGGAATGTGTGGTAGAATTAGAAAGGTTAACCTTGAAAGGAAACGGGGATATGTGAGAATTGTTATATGAAGGGAGAATTGAGTTTATATTTTCCGATAGCAATAAAACACTTGATTATTTACTGCGTCCCCATTGCATCTCAAGGAGTTCATCATATGATCTTGAAGTTACTTTTTTTCTTACAGAATGGGAAACTGAAACACAAATAGATTAAATAACTTGTCCAGTGTCATATACCTAGGGAGCACGTGGCTAATATTAGAATTCCAATCTGTCTTTTTTCGCATCCTGTTCTTTTTCCACTGCACTAGTACTTTCTCCTCAGATTATAGGTGTAAGATAATAGGATTGTTTTCATTTTCATCTACTCAAGTGCTTGCCCAGGTGGCTTGCAGCACTTGGTGCAAGATGATGCTAATGAAGAAGCCAAAGGGGAAGTTGTTTCTCCCAGGAACCTTTCTTTTCAAATTCCTTCTCTAGGATGATGTGCCCCTATTTTTTGTGGCAACCATGACTCCTCTGCAAAAATCAACAAACATTTTTCTTTCTAGTTTACAGGCAATGCTAGTTCAAGTTTCCATGAAGAAAACCTTGTGTGCAATACACTAGACCTTTTCTTGGCTGGAACAGAGACAACTTCTACTACACTGCGCTGGGCTCTGCTTTACATGGCCATTTACCCAGAAATCCAAGGTGAACATGTGGTTGGATGTGCCTGGACTAGTACAGATTAATGCCTCCTGGAACATAGTGCCAAGGATTGGGGCCTAAAGATAGCATGGTAGAATGAAAAGATAGGTGGAACATTCATGATGCAGACTCAAGAACTAGCATATCCTTTAATTTTTCCTGTCAGGGATTATGATAGTCCTGGCAAGGCAAATATAATGCAGTGCCTTCCCTCAAGGAGCTGAGAATCTAGTGGGAAAAACAGTAAAGTTAGTTGAGACTGTGTTAAATTTCACAGGGCAGTGACATTCTTTTATGAACATTTGGTCTTTTAAGCAATGAATTACCATCACCCTCTGGATAATGTCCTGACACCTCAGTCTGGTACATAATATCCTGTAATGTGCCTTTTTCTGCCACCTTCAATGCTACCCACTCTACATACTGGCCTCACTAAATCACGTCTCAGTTTTCCATTGCATTGTCCTTCTACAGCTTGTGTTCATTCCCATGTGTTGTTCCCTCTACCAAGAATGCACTTCTTCAATTTCCCTACATGGCAAACTATGAGCTCTTCTTGAAGAGTCTGATCAGATACCGCCTCCCTTATGTTGTTTTGCCAATCTTCAAGGAAATTACTAGCATTTTCTTTCTTTACAGACAAAGGGAGAAAACACCTCTTCTTTTAAGGGCAAATTCAAAGGGTTAAACAGCACTTCTATACATTCTCTTGGCCAGAACTTAGTCATATGATGTCACAGTTACAAAGGAGTCTGGGAAATGTAGTCTTTAGCTGGGAAAACAGGTAAAATTTTTATTACTAAAGAGTAGAACAGTTATTAGAGGACAATTAGCATTTTATATCATTTGTTGGATACTGAGCAAAATAAGTTCATGCAATTTTTCAAGATGATTATACATTTATCCCCACTGATCAGATAAAAGGAGCTCTGGTAGTATAGTGGCTAAGGCATTTGACTGCTAACCAGAAGGTTGGCAGTTCAAACCCACCAGCCACTCGTTGGAAGGAAGATGGGGCAATCTACTTCCATAGTGACACTGCCTCGGAAACCCAAGGAGGGGTCACTATGAGTCGAGTTAGACTCAATGGCAGTGAGTTTGTTTTTCTTTTTTGTTTGATCACATAAAGAAACTGAGTTTCAGAGAGTTTAATTAACTTATACCATTAATGTTTAAAAGCAAGAGTCTGATCCACATTTGTGTTACAGTAGAACCCACTTTTCTAGAACCCCACTCGTATATAGCTTCTTGAGAAATTTGAGTCTATAGAGCCTATGTTAATTTTAGTAGCCACAACAATGAACTCAAAAATACTAAGGGTCATGAAGATTGCCCAGGGCCTGGTGATATTTTCTTCTGTTATACACAGTCACCATTTACTGGAGCCAACTCAATGACAACTGACAACAACAATACTATAATCTTAAGCCATTTTGACCTTGGTTATTCCATTCCTTAGTTTAACTAGGTCCCCGAAAATTAAGAAGTTGAAAATATCCTTAATAAGCCCTTTGAAGAATTGAGAACCATTTTATTTATTGTCTTGACCTGCTCACTAATTGAGATATGACAGGTGAGACCTTGGAGACCAACTCTACATCTTTGGAAGATAGCATAAAAGTTTAAAAGAATAATAGAACGTTCTCTTCTTTTCCAGAGAAAGTACACACTGAGATAGACAGAGTATTTGGCCAATCACAGCAGCCCAGCACCACTGGCCGAGAGCACATGCCCTACACCAACGCCGTCATCCATGAGGTGCAGAGAATGGGCAACATCATCCCCCTGAATGTGCCCCGGGTAGTGACGTTTGATACCATTTTGGCTGGATACCACCTGCCAAAGGTAATCAGGGTCTCTCAGCCTTAGGTCTTCAAGCCTGTCTTTTTATGCAGTAGGAATCTGAACCTGAAAAGTAATACACATTTATTTCTCAATGAATCATTCAAATGAGGAGAGAGATATCTTATACCTGATATAATATTATTTTTTTTCTCCAAGTATGTGCTTTAGAACATTATTACAACTGGGTTTTTATAAGTATTGGGGGGCGGATGGGACATTTTATTGACAAATGTGTTTAGAGAAAGACTTTTCTTTGCTGCAGGACTTCTCAGAGTTTTTTATACTAATTTTCATTTTCATCTTCCATGAGGGAGACCCAGATTCAATTTCCAATGATTGAACCTCAGTATGCCACTACCTTTCTGTCACTGGAGGCATAAATGTTGCTATGATGCTGAACAGTTTTCATGGAGCTTTCAGACTAGGAAGGTGAACTAGGAAGAAAGACCTGGTGATCTACCTCTGAATAACAGCCAGTGAAAACCCTATGGATAATAACAACGTGATCTTGTTGTGCTTGGTTTCTCTGTAAGTTGAGGTCAACTCGATGGACAGCCACTAACAACAGCAATGTGCATTGGCCAACTTTGTTGAGATAAAGCAGGCAGCAGTTCACAGTCACACTTTGCCTCAGAACCCTTTTGTTTCTCTTGGTAGAACGTCTCACAGGACTGGACACTTACTATGTATAATCCTGGGGTTGTGGAATGTTAAAAGCGAAGGCACATTTGAGAACACCCAAGTCAGCATCACATTAATGCTAGTGTTTCCACCATAATATTCTCACAGGTATTTTTTACTTACAATCCCAGTAATAGAAAATTTATAATATAAAAAGGAAATCAGCCCAGATGTGTATCTAAGCCAGGGTGTCAGACAGACCTGGTTCAAATCATGGCTTCACCACCTCCTCCTATGTAACCATGAACATGTTATGTAACCTCTCAAAGCTTTAATTTCCTTATCTATAAACTGCATATGCAACCTATCTGCCAAGATCCACATAGAAATAGAATGAAGTCATTTCTTTGGAGTAGTTTAACTATTGTGCATTTTAGAGTCCTTCAAAATAGCAATTATTCTTTATTAATTCAATAAATATTCATTAAGAACTTAATGTGCTCAGATCTGGAGGAACAACCCTGAGCAAGAACACAATCATGCAAATGATTAGGCTGGATAATTACAAACCAGGGAAACTGGCAGAAAAAAAAAAAAAAAAAAAAACTCACTGCCATTGAGTCAAATCCTACTCATAGTGACGCCTCCTTGGGTTTCTGAGGAGGTATCACTACAGAAGTAGACTGCCAATCTTCCTTCCAAGGAGTGGCTGGTGGGTTTGAACTACCAGCCTTCTGGTTAGCAGTCAAATGTTTTAGGCAAACTTACAGGCTGTTATAAAATGTAAATTAGCTGAAGCAGGGATTAGGAGCTGGAATGGTGAGAGAAGCCTTCCCAAAGGAAGTCATGCTTGGACTGAGAATTAAAAGAATGATTAGGAGTAGGTTGGGGAGAAAGTAGTAGAAAAGTAGGAGAAAGGGGAAAAAAGGCAGAGGGAACAGCATTTATTAAAAAAAAAAAAGAAAAAGAAAGAAAGAAAAAAACCTTTTAATGAGTTGGAACTTGGCATGTTTGAGAAATTGAAAGAAGACCACTGTAGTGGGAAGGCACACAGGAGGAGTAGGGTGGCCCAGACAAGATTAGATGATGGGCCTTTAACCAAACACTGATGGGAAGACAATGAAGGGTTTCAAGTTGGAGGTAAGAGTGTATGGTTAAGTGTGATGTGATTAAATCATTTTCAATACTCAGTCTGCTTTCAGGATGCAGAGCAGATTAAAAGGACAAGAAAGGATATGGGATATACTTACTGTTACCTGCCATTGAGTTGGTCCTGGACTTGTGGAGACTCCATACATGACAGGATTGGACCTTTGTGATCATAGGGTTTTCCTTGGCTGATTTTGGGAAGTAGATCACCAGACCTTTCTTCATAGTCTGTGTTAGTCTGAAAGCTCTGTTAAAATCTATTTAGCACTGAGAGGGGGTGGTTGTGCTTGAGGTATATTGGCTGGGTATTGAACCTGGGTCTTCTGCCTGGAAGGCCCACCTTCTAGCACTGAAACACCACTGCTCTAGGGATTTCTTTAGGAGGCTATTGTGGGAGTATAAGCAAGCAAAGTGGTAGCCTGGGCTAGGGTGGTGGCAGAGGACATGGAATCAAGGTGACAGAATGAAGGGAAATTCAGGAAATGAAATCTGCCATTCTTGCTGATGTATTGGATTAAGATAGCCTAAGGGGAAGGAATGCATTAAGGACAACTCCTAGGTTTCTTGCTTGTGTAACTGGATGCATACAAGTGCCTTTCCTGGGCTACTGGATTCTATTATTAAAACTTCTGGGGCTGGAGGTGCCATATGTTAGACTCTGGAGTGAAGAAAATAGGAGAAACAGAGATGACTAAGACATTGTTTACTTTTGTGGAGCTGTCCCAGTTACACTCTCAGTGAACAGGTGGGTTGATTTTAGGACATTGCTATCTGGCCACCTGCTCCATTATTTCTTACTGCTGCATACATGTTCCCTTCCAAGTCCTACACTGACATGTCCCTCTAGAGAAGGTACATTCAACAGTCAGTAATATGTAAAATTCCCAGCAGGCAATTCTGATCCATCACTGTGAACTGTCCCATAGCAAAGAGCAGAATCCTGGGGAGCTGGGCTCAGGAAACCATGGGCTTAGGTGTGGTCAGGATGTGGGAGCCAAGGACTGCCACCCTCTGTGAATGTGTGTTGTATGAGTCGAGCCTTGCCTGAGTCTTTGCTGCCTTCTCTAGGGGACCATGGTCCTGACCAATCTGACTGCACTGCACAGGGACCCTGCAGAGTGGGCCACCCCTGACACATTCAATCCGGAGCACTTTCTGGAGAATGGACAGTTTAAGAAAAGGGAAGCCTTTCTGCCTTTTTCAATAGGTGAGTTGTAATAAATAGGAGTGTGAAGATCCAGAGTCCCTCGTCAGCCTTCCCTACTGTACTCCCATTGTCTTTGGCTTTAGTTGAAATGTCTCCACATGGCCCCACCCAATATGTCTCCATCTTGCTAAGAGACAAAGTGAAAATTCCCAGGGCTGGGATTTGCTTTAAATTGTCCCTTCCCTTCTGAGCCCTCCCTTGCCTCAAATGGAGACTGTATCCTCTGTTCCTCCATTCAGAGTATAGAGGACAGAGAAACCCAGACTGTGCCTTTTGCTTAAGAGGAAGGTTGGACATCTGGCTTCTTCATAGAGTTTTCAAATATCCCCTAAAATATCACAATCCCCATAGCGGGGATTATGAGGATGGCGCAAGAGTGGGCAGTGTTTCATTCTGTTATAGAGAGGGTCGTTATGTGTCAGAGCCAACTCAACTTTTCATAACAACTTCTTTTTAAAGGCCTTCTCCCTCATGTAGAAATAGAGCTGGTATATACTGAGGAAATATGGAGAGGCGGAAGGGAGGGGCTACTCACCATCCTGGGTGTCAGTCAGTGACTGTAAATGTCATGGACTGAACTAAATTAGGATCTACTCTGTAAACATTCCCTGAAGAGGTTCTTTAGCCTTTTTACATTTGAATTACCTTTTTAAAATCTAGTGAATTGTTTACATGGTAAATATAAACCTAAACCTACAGAGGTTGCAGTGAAAACGCTCATATTTCCAAGGCCTCCAGTTCTGAAAGGGTTTTTCACTTTTATTACTCTGCTTTTTTTTTTTAAAAACTAATTTATTTAATTCCTTACATGATAAATTAAATAACATGAATTCTTAGTATAATCCAGGTATCGAGTTAGATATGTCACATGCATTGTTTGAGATAATTTGCTAATCCCTTACTTCCATAAATACTTACTGAACATTGATTATACATCAGGCAGTCAGCCCTGAGGATGTGACAGTGAATAATATAGAAACGATAAAGGTGCTGTCATAGAGCATATGTTCAAGTGCAGCTTTACAATGTACAAATTATGGTCTCCACTATAAAGATAAGAAAATTGAAAGTTGCAGGGCTTAAGTATGGCCAACTAATGTCATAAAACTCATATGTGGCAGCTCCAGGACTCAATGCCAACCAGTTTTTTCGAACATTCAAGCCTGTGCTCTTTCTAGTACTATCTCCTAACAATAACTAAATTCTGCACAGCACCTGTAAAGTAGAATGCATGACAGTTGGCTTGTCCTGAGTTTAAATAAAATATACATTAATTTTCTGAAATAGCATATTTTGCTGATGATAGCACTAAAGCTCAGAGAGAAAGGTAAGAACTGAAATTTGAACCCATGTTGGTGTGACTACTAAGCTCAAGTTTTTCCCCTGTGCTGCATTGCCTGCAGTATATCTGAGATAATTCTAATTATGTCCTCTTTGTCTTTCTTCATCTGCTTCTCTGTCACCATTGTTCATTTTACACAAGTCACTTCCTAATAATGAAAGCTCATACTTAGGAATATCTTCCAGTCTTCTTGTCACCAATACCTATACCTTCAAATTTTGTGTTACAGCAGAAACTTCCAGCTGTATAATTCAATTATTAGAAATATTCATTTTCCTTGGCTTTTGCACTAAGGAGCTCTGGTAGGGTAATGCCTAAAGCATTTGACTGCTAACCAGAAGGCTGGCAGTTCAAACCACCAGCTACTCTATGGAAGGAAGACTGGGCATTCTACTTCCATAAAGATTTACCACCTTGGAAACCCAAAAAGGGTCACTGTGAGGTGGAATTGACTCAATGGCAGTGACTTTGGTTTGTTTTTTTGTCTCTTGCACCAGACCCATGTAATGCTGAAATGCTAGAAATGTGGCCCTCTACATACTCCCCAAAAATGCCTTCACCTGATGCTTGCTGCAATGTTGAGGAGAGAAATCTTAACAGATGTTTATGGCTTTAGGAGAAAAAGTATCGTTCTAGGCTGAGTGATGCCTGGATAACTTTCCTTCATATGGCAGATGCTTTTCCTTGCAGTTGACTCATATCTCCCCTGCTAAAAATTTCTTTATCTGCATTAGCTCAAACACAAGAAAGCTCTACACACACTGCCTTGCTGGGACTTTGATATCACAAATAGTATCTTGATACTAGTTATAGTAATATGGCAGAAAAGGCAAAATCACTACACAGACCCTCTTTAACAAAGAAAACAGAAACCAGTTAACTCAGATAAAGAAGATAATCCTGGAGCCCTGAGCTTTGAAAGGAAAGATACAGAAGTGGACTAAACTCCAAATAGGAAAAGAACCCACATGAAAACACTGAAAAAGGAGGAATAGGGAGCTGCAGACTGTCAGTGATCCTTATGGCATGTACAGCTTGGATATTGCCAAGTGGTATTAGGACCTAAGAACTAACCTAAAAATAGGCTCTGCTAGCCAGGGCTGCAGTGAGGACTGCACTGGTAGATGGTGAATAAAAGGAGAAGCAGCAGAGAGGTAGACAGAGAGGTAGAGCTGTGGACTTTTGGCTATCTGAGGAGTGCAGCAATTCTGAATGTTTACAAATGGTTCGACCATTTTGGATATTTAAAGAGACAGTGTTCTCTCAGTTTCGAGGGACCTAAGAGCAGGCTCCATTTGCCAAGGATGACAAGGACATACGGGACACTGAGGATTGGAAAGGAGACAGCAATTATGCCCATATGACACTACCACACCCACACCTCATGCTGCTCCACTTACTGAGTGAGAGCCACCATTGCCTTTTGCACCAACTGGCCAATGATTCACAACCACCAGTATGAGCCTGATTCAACCTTAACTGCTCTTCACAAACAGTTAACAGAGGTCTGTGCAGCCACTCATGTTGTCTATCACACACACCAGGAGACAGGGTGAGTGCATAAGTGCTGCCAGCTAGTGAATAGAGGGACACAGTACCCTGCTTACTCAGAGACATCCAAAAGACCCAAATAAAATGAAAATCTTGGTCAAATCACTCCAACATACAATCAATATTAAATATAAATACAACAAAGTCACAATGTCTCAGAGACAACAGAGCGTCACAGTCCACAAAAAGAAGCACGAGAAAGCAGTAGAAACAAGGGAGCAAGACACAGACCCAGAACACATCCCTGAGGAAAACACAGCATTGGAACTCCCTATTAAGGAATTCAAAAGAATTATATTTAGGTACTTTCAATGGATTGAGAGATAGATCAAGGAAAGCACTGACATAATTAAGGAAACCCAGAAAAAACCCTAGAACAATCTGTGAAGACAATACAAGAAAAAAATAACAAAATAGATGAAAAATTAGAAATGATACAAAATCTACAGATAGAAATACTGAATATTTATACTAAATTTTCAGAAATAGATAACACATTGAAAGGGCAATGGAGTAGAATTGAATCAATGAAGACAGAATTAATGAGATTGAAGACAAATACCTGAATATTTATTTGGAAAAGGATCAATCAGAAAAAAGATCAAAACAAAATGAAGAAAACCTAAGATTTATGTGGGATACTATCAAAAGGAATAATCTACATATAATCAGAATTCCAGAACAGGAAGAGAAAAAGAAGACCACTGAGAAAATTGTCCAAGATTTGTTGAAAGAGAACTTCCCTGATCTGATGAAAGATGAGAATACATCCATTCAGGAAGTTGAACGAACCTCAAACAGATTTGACCCCAGAAGAAAATCACCAAGGCATATCATCATCAAACTCACCAAAACCAGGGACAAAGAATTCTGAAAGCAGCATGGAAAAAGGGAAAAGTTACCTACAAAGGGCAACCAATAAGAATAAGCTCTGATTTCTCAAGAGAAACATGCAAGTGAGAAGGCAATGGGATAGTATATTTATAACCTCAGAAGAGAATAATTTGCAACCAATACTCATATACCCAGCAAGATTGTCCCTCAAATATGATGGTGAAATTAGGAGATTTCCAGACAAGCAGAAATTAAGGGAATTTGTTATAACCAAACCAACCTTATTAGAGATACTAAAGGCAGTCCTTTGAACAGAGAACCAATAATAGCAAACAACACTGATCGTTAATACACAAGATGACATGACCAACACAGCTTAGAAGTATCCAAAGTAAAATAATCTTACTAGATTGTAAACAGGGAACCAGAGACATCAATTGGCAAATGAAGACCACTACAAACCAAAAAGAGGGAAAAAAATAATGTAGTTACAGAACTTCTAAATGGCGAGGAAGTCAAGAAAGTTGCAAGATAGAATGGACTGTTTTAAATTCAGGGGGGAAATTTTAAGTCACATGGTAACCTCAAAGAAAAATGATAAACCTTCACATCACAATAAAAAAGAGGACACACACAAATATTTAGCAAACACTAAAACAACAGCAATGAAGGAAATGATAATATGATTCATACACATAATGAGCTCAGCATAGAAAATAATATAGAATGAAGAAACCAGGGACACCATGAAAAAACACATAACAAAATGACAGCAACCAATTCATACTTGTGGATAATTACACTGTCAATGGATTAAATACACCACTCAAGAGACAGAGAGTTATGGATTGGATAAGAAAACATAACCCATCAATATGCTGTCTACAAGAGACACACTTTAGAGAGAAAGAAAAAAATAGTCTAAAAATCAAAGGTTGTAAAAAGATATATCAAGCAAATGGCAACCAAAAAAGAGCAGGAGTGACAATATTAATTTCTGATAAATTTGGATTTAAGACAAAAACCACCATGTGACACAAGGAAGGGGATTATGAAATGATTGAAGAAGATATAACCATAATAAAGGGAAGAACACACTTGGCATTTCTCAAGCTGAAAGAACTGAAGAAAAAATTTAAGCCTTGAGTTGCAATATTGAAAAATTCTGTGGGCAATATATTGAATGATGCAGGAAACATCTAAAGAAAATTGAAAGAGTATAGAAGCACTGTGCCAAAAAGAATTGGTTGATATTCATCCATTTCAGGAGTTG